TTCATTTCCCACCATGTAGAAACAAGTGCCACGCTAGTAGTAACAAGTGCCTTACTAGTAGTAACAAGGACGCTATTAGAAACTTTTGAGTGTCTCTTCCGGTCCTCGGTGACACGCTCCAAGAGTAGTGTAGACACATGCAGTGCCAGCAGCTCTGAGCAAATCTGCGGGTGGTTTGGCCGTGGTGCACAGCAGGAGCAAAGGACGCTACTAGGGGCTCCTGGCATCGCTACTAGTAACAAGAACGCTACTAGGAACAAAGGGCATCGCTACGAACGGAGCAAGGACGCTACTAGGTTGGAGGCCATTGCTAAAGCTTCAATGAGGAAAGCCGCCAAAGTGAAGAAACAGCGCTGCTTCTGAGCTGGTGTCCATCTTCATTGCTTTCTTGTAAAATTCGTTTGAACAATGCGAAATAATGAAACTATATCTCTCTCCAGAGTCTCACTGTGGGTCAAACAAGCATCTGAACCCCTCTCAGAAGGAGCAACGCAGAGCAGTGCCGCAGCGCCATGTGCCACGCAGCGCCTTCTGGTTCACTAAGTGGGCCATGAACTTGATCGCCGCCGTCGTGACAATCTTGTCGTTCCTGCGTCATCATTGAATTGCATTGTCTCCACCTTCTTCACGTTTGAATTGGCACAGATCTCTTTGTAATGGAAGTCAACACCTCTCTGACTGCCTTACAAATTCAAACATACAATAACTACATTTACCAAGTTTCTCTTGCATGCACATCAAAGAAATGAAAAACAAAGATATATATATATATATATGCAGCAACACCATGTCTGGATGCAGTTCGTAGCTACCACAACTCAGCGCCAACCAGCCTCTTGTAGGCCCGGCGGAACTGCAAAATCACTCGCCGAATCAGCAAGTCTCCCACTTCGGGCCTCAGCAAAGTGCAGAAATGGACGGAAGCATCGTCACATCCACCCATTAGAGTGACAAGTGATCTCCCACAGTTCAAAAGAAGAATGGATCGACAAAGCCGGTGGAGTGAATGGTTTTGAAGGTCTAAGGAAAAGGAAAGATACAAATAGAGAGAGAAAGGAAAAAGCCATCAGACGCTACTAGGAGCAAAGGACGCTACTAGGAACAAGTGCATCGCTACTAGTAACAAGTGCCTTACTAGTAGTAACAAGAAGCTATTAGAAACAAGTGCCATGCTAGTAGCAACAAGTGCCTTACTACTAGGAGCAAAGGACTCTAGTA